CCTGATAATGTGTGTACAAAATTTCATGATGATCCACCGAGTAGTTAAGGCGTCAAATTGTAGCAAACAAACACATTTAATTTTTAATTTTTATTAAAATAAAATACCAAAATTCAAATAGTTTGCTAGTTTTACAACGGTGTACATAAAAACGTATCCTAATTTACTTCAGCCCTGTACTGTATCTTTTGAAGGGTGTATTAAAAGATATTGTGAACATTCCCGGTTTTAATGATGTAAAAATGTTCTAAATTTTTCTGATGACTTTCTCGCCTGATCATTTCTTCGTAATTGTTTTAAATATATTAGTAAGTACGAAATACGTGTGTTATTTAATTGAAACGAATGTCCATGTTATGCGAACTTGAGAATTATCTTTTTCAGTTTCCTAACTAGGATATTGATCTTTTTTTATGTAATAAAACACTTCCTTGATTTCTTAATCTAGATCAAGATATGTGCAATAACGAATTTTGTTTTTTATATTTGTTTAAAGAAAATTTAAAGTAGAAAATGCTGTAGATAGTATTAAGTAGGTGTTAGTTTGGTTGCATACATATACGAACGTTTTATAATGAAAATTGTATTTTCTTCCATTTTACTGTATATGAAATGATACCTATATTGCATTTTATAATAGTTATTAAAGGAAGGAATATTTAGTCAGAGTTACATAATTTTCTGTATAATTTCGAGTAAAAAACTTATTTTTTTTTTTGAAAATTGCCGTTTTTATTTTTCAGTTCTCGACTTACCTCGCATTCTTTGAAGGTGCCATTTTTTTGCTACTAACTTAATTGCGAAACACGACAATTTCTTTTGTTACTTAATATTTTTCGATTCGTATGGTTTCTTTTATTTTATATTAAAGTTCTGAAATATTTTGGTTCTACTTCTTTTAATCAACAGAAAATTCATCGACATTGTACAAGTTTGTGTGAAGGAAGTCCCACATACTTTTAGTATCTACGCAGTAGGAGTTCATTTTCTAAAAGTGTAGTAGAGGGAAGTTTGACTCATTATCTTTTAAATATGTTCGATTCGATAAGAAAAGAAAATCTATTGTCCCTGATCTTTATTTATACGTTAATTTTTTTGGCTACAACAATGGCAAATTGTTTAGCTCTGTCGATAAACGTTTTTGGAATGAGTAATGGATGAGTCTCTGATGAGTACCAACGTTTACGGTACCAAGAGTGAAACGCATAACAGTTATAACAACAGATGTTGGATTTGTTATGATAAATTTTAGAATTTCCCTTTTAGAATATATTTTGATTGATGATTATTAAATTAAAATGTTGCTCTTTTGTTTCAGGGGCAATATAAAGCAACTTTCCAGTTCTGCACCTACAATGACGGCTCAGGCTCGGACTCCAGAGCCTCCTAGTCCAAAAGCTACGACCAAAGAAGATAAACTACCCACTACCTCAAAAGCAAGGCAGAAAAAGTTCCACAGGCATTTTCCAACAGTTGACCTGGACGAAAAAGTTTTAAATTGTAAGTAATAATCAAGCAAATTCAAGAATTATAATGTAATTAACACAATATCACTTAATTGGAAACTCCCATAATCATCATAAGGTCGTCAGTCCTAAGATTGGTTGGACAGGCACTTCCACTGTTTCCTATCCTGAGCCAATCTTCGTCCTTCCCTAAAACTAGAAAATCCCACATTCTTGACTATTTGCGAACAGTAATTTAATCTAGGTCTCCTTCTACTCCTCTTAACTCCTGTTTCTGCCTCTAATATGTCTCTGACTAGAGCTTCATGCCTGATAAGGTGTCCTACCAACCTGTCTCGTCTATTTTGTTATTGACTTCCATAGAGTCCTCTATTCTCCTATTCTTCTTAATACCTCTTCATTTCTAACTTTCTCTATCGACGGTATCCTCATCATTCACCTGTAATGTCACATTTCGAACGCTTATAACCTTTTCTTTTCCACCGCACCCACTTTTCGTGATTCGCACCCGTACAGTGCCGCGCTCCAAACATATACCCTTGACAATCTTTTTCGAATTTCTAAACTAACCGTTCGCGAGCATAGCAGTGACTCCTTTTTATGAAAGGCGACTCGACCCTGTGCTATCCTCTGCTTTATGTCCTTACTACTCCTTCCGTCCTGACTTATCTGACTTCCTTGTATTTTCATACAATACTGTTTTATAAATAATAATAAGATTCAGTTTAACTACGATATAACAAATAACAGTTCTACTAGGTGTATAAAATGTCTGTGTTATCATTTCGTCCTAGTTCAATGTTGTATAATCTTCAACATTTCATGCTGTTAAACATTCTAAAAAGTTGATAACAATCCAGCTGGCTAGAAAAACGAACGAGGATGAAGATAACACACGAACAGATTTGTGTCGAAGTTGACCTTTCCTTTTGATAGGAAATAGATAGTTTGAACATATTGTTTTCATGTTGTTCTCGAATTTAGTGCCGCGAAGACGCGTTAAAATTATGGTTGTTATTATTAACATTAATATTCAAAATTCAATTAATAAATATAAGTGGTGTATATTTAATGTGGTTTGTTTGAAACTGACTCCAGAAATACATAAGTAAAATATGAAACAGTAGATAACTTATGAGGTATGTAGTAGTACTTTTATTACTGTATTTAAATATCGATTTTTTGTTGCTTTTTATATTTTTTCGAACAGTAATACTTAATAGGTATCACATGAACTCAAAATAATTTTATTTATTTATTATCTTTAGCGTCTCTTTATCAAAATAAGTGACTATTAAATGAATAAAATCGACAACCTCCAAAATTTGAATAAATAAAAAAATGTGAACAGATATAATTCATTGTTTACCACAGGTTATCCGAACTTTTACGGGACATAGTACCTATTAATCAAACCTTGGTAAAATTCTAGTATGTACGAATCCCATGTTTCCCGAGGATTTTGTTCTTGATCTTCATCAGTCCAGGGATTTTCCTGTCTAAAAGTCTAAAACAAAAGCTAATTAAAGTTGATTTTATAGGTTCTTAAACAACAAATTCTTATAAACAGTTTTTGGTTTCGATTTAAACTTAATCTGAAACTAAAATTTTCATATGTTTGTTCTCAGTGGAGAAAATAATATTTTAAACCAAATGAACTAGATTTCATGGTGTTTTTTTTCTTCCAGATTACTCATGTGCTCTCATAGGGGATATTCTTCTCCAAGGGCATCTTTACATAACGAAAAACTACTTTGCTTTCTACTCAAATGTCTTCGGATACGTCACAAAGGTAATTGTTTTTAATTTTTTATTTTCAAATATGCGTTACGCACTAATAAATTCTAATTACAATGGCATCTGCTATAGATATTTTTAAATTGAAATATTATGAGACTGAATCAACAAAGCAAATTATTTAATTTATTTGTTTCATAGTTTTAATGCTGTTTTAGATTTTTTTTAATTAAAACTTTATAATAAGTATGTTGTTGGTGCAATGTTTACTGCTTATGAATGTTTGAGTTAACTTAATCTAAAAAAACTCGCAGGGTGGTTAATGAGCATGTCGCCTTTGCAGTGTTTCTGAATTACTGTGCAAATGACTTTTGCTTTGTTCGTTAAAAACAGTGGCATAGCGTGAGTTTCCACCACCCAAGTCCCGGGGCGCATCCCAAAGCCGCTTTCCCCTTTTTGACAATAAATATTTTTGTATTTAAATTGGTCGGCATTGAAAATATGTACTTAAAAATTTATATTTTTAAGTTAGCGTTTTAGCAAATAAGTAACGTTTATTATTAACGTAAATTGAAAGTGTATAGGCATTTTTATAAATAGGAATCTTCCTTATTAGACTTATGTTAAACAAGAATAAGAAATACTCAAATTTGCCTTTTTTACCTTACGCTATAACGTAAACCAATTGGGTTCGACTATTCGACTCTCATTGATTATGAATTACTACTACAAAATTTGGTATCTTTACTCACTAAATGCCTTGGAGCATAGCACAAATTATTAAAAATCTAGCCACCCCCATATTTGCGCCATCTGGGGTCATGGCACCCTTTGTCAATGAGAAAAAGTCTTGTGAATCTTCTGTGGAAGGTTTAAAATATGACCTTTTCCAAGATTGACTTATTACAATACGTTTATTTGTTACCTTTATATTCGAATTGATTTAAATACTTATTTTCGACGACCATTAAAATAATTGTGGTCCAATTTTGAAGAAGTGAATTATTGTGTATATAAATATTGACTGCTGAAGCCGTGCAAATTAAAAGCAAGAAGTTAATAAAAGGAATACTAAGAGCTAATGTAGATTACAGACATCAAAGTAATAACTCAGGCGTAGGGTCTTATTGTTAGCACGTGGTGAAGGATTAAATCAATAAAATTAAACTTAAAGTTTCGAAAATTGAGATTTTATTAGAGAAAAAAAGATTAATATCATGAATTGATGTATCCAGTGGTTAAATTAAATGTTTTTTATCACCCTACTGTGATGTCTAGAATCTACATGCTCCATATGCCCTATTAGTTGCGTATCAGCTTCCACAGTGCCTATTTATATCCCTACATAATTCGGAAATTTCGGAAACAATGTTTATCGGTTTGAAACAAGAAGAAGTAAGTGTTTAGCAAGACGTGAAGAAATGCAAAATTTTTGAAAACAAGAACTGAATTTTTCTGTCCATATAGAAGATAACGAACAAAAATAAAGATAAAAAAAATATAGACAGTGGCGTAACTGGCGAAGTGGCGCACGCTGAAAGTGCTGCCCCAATCCTGTGATAAAAATTAAACGAATTCCAGTTCGGGACGGACACTATTTGCCGTTCCTGAGTGGTGGCAATGTGCCGCCGCCTGGAACGGGCCGCCCTCCGCCCTATTTACGCCACTTAAGTCGAAAAAAGAAAAGAAACTTACAATGACTAAATGTGAAGATTAGTATAATAAAATAGTAGTAGAAAAGAAGGAAGAAGGAGTAAGTTTGTTTGGATCTTGTAAGTGAATTCGTTTTTTGATTTTTTTTGCATTTTCTTTTCCAGTTACTCATTCCACTTTTGACCGTGGAAAAGATCACGAAGGAGAGAACGGCTAAAATAATACCCAACGCGGTTGGCGTTGTGACAAGTGAAGACAAACATGTGTTTGGCAGTTTAATGTCCCGTGATAACACATTCCGGCTTATGATTAAAGTTTGGGACGCAGCAAGAAACAGTGCCATGCAAAACAGTCTTCATGTCGAAGAGGAGTTATTGGTAAGTTCATGTATTCATTATTTACAATTTTCGACACAGTGATGTTGAACAACCACTCAAAATCGTGGACTACGGAATGATATAGGGGCGGAATATAAAGTGTGAATATAGAAAAAGGTAGCGAAGCTCTAAATTCTTCGGGAATATTAAATTCGGAATAAGCGTCGGAGAACATTCTTCTGCCGCCTACCTCCCCTCCTGGCCAGCAAATCTCCGCAAAATTATTTTAAATGAGACCTTATATCTTCTCAACAAACCTTTAAAAGACTAAACATTATTCACAAAATGTATCAAACAAAAAAAAAATATCATTGAATAATAATGCAACTTTTTTGACTTTTGAGTCTAACCTTTATAAGATTTGTTGCATGTCCCACAATTAGGTTTGTATGTACCTATCTGATTTGCATTCTTCTTCTAGTAAGGTTTTTATTGTATTTTACATTGCCTAAGGAGTTATTGGTTCCAAATGATATAGAGGAGTCAGTAAATTTTGAAGTATGTGTGGCTGTAGATGCAGAATATCGTCTAATTCCTTGTTGAAATCGTCTTCAAGCAAAGTTAGCAATATATGAAGACTTGAATAGACTGAAGTATTTCATGTGTTAAATAAGGGCTGAATCGATAACACAGCTTTCATACGTGATAAACACGTAAAACAATTAATAAGAACGTTTATGTTCTTGATGATGAGAACTGAAAAGATCGAAATCGTAATTCGATTTTGGTCATCATCATCATAAGGTCGTCAGTCCTAAGACTGGTTGGACACGAACCTCTACTCTTTCCTATCCTGAGCTAATCTTCACATTTCCTAAAACTAGAACAACCTAAACTATTTGAGAGCAGCAATCTAATCTAGGCCTACCTCTACCCCTCCTAAATCCCATTTCTCCATCTAATATACCTCTGACTAGACCTTTATGCCTGAGAAGGTGTCCTACCAACATATTTCGTTTATTTCTTATTGACTTCCATAGAGTCCTCTGTTCTCCTATTCTTTCTAATACCTCTTCAATTCTAACCTTCTCTATCCACGGTATCCTCATCATTCGCCTGTAACAACACATTTCGAACGCTTCTAACCTTTTCTTTTCCGCCGTGCCCACCGTCCATGTTTTGCACCCCTACAGCGTCGCGCTCCAAACTTTAACAAGCTTTTTCGAATTTCTAAATTAACCGTCCCCGAGCTTAGAAGAAATTTCTTTTTATTGAAAGCTACTCGACCCTTCGCTATCCTTTGTTTTATATCCCTACTACTCCTTCCGTCCTGACTTCCTAGATACCTCTGGTAGTTTCAATAAAAAACTTAAACACTCTTACAAGTTTAAATACCTTAGTAAGGCCTTGTCTAACATACGAAATATTTAGATATAGATATAGTGGCACCAAGTACTCACCAGATGGTGATACACTCCTCTATTTGCATATCATATTGCAAATTATTCATTTTTTGTGTTAATTTTACTTTTTTAAAAAATATGACACTGTAATGCAGTCATTGATTTCTTTTTTTTTTTAGACTGTTATACCTTATTATTATTCGCGGGGGGCTTTTTTCTGTGGTGATTGATCATCGGGAGAATTGTAGAATTTCATCAATAAGTAGTAGTAAAAGTTATAAGGTCTCTTTTAAAATAATTTTGGGTGATTTTTCTTGAGGTTTTTTCCGAATGGATTTTTTTCAGGGTTCTTTTTTTCGAAGAATTTTTTCCTAGATTCTGCGTGCATTGAGGTGATTTCTATTTGTTAGTAGTAACTCGATATTCCTCGGTATTCTTTGTTTTGTTTTCTTTCTTGATGTGTTAGCTGACTTCCTCGATGTCGAAAATTGACAATCTCTGTTATGTTTAAAATTATGGTTTCATTTTAGTCCATACTTGTCTCTCAATTTCATTTAAAGCCGCCCCTAATTCCTCCTTCCTATCGTGCAAATATCACTATATTATTTGTAAATCTAAACATGCCAATATTTTACCCTTGCGTATCTAAATTGAAACTAACTTGCAATTGAAAGGAATCATTGATAACGTTAATCTATCAGCCACATCTTCCCTGAAGATTAACTTCTTTCTATAGGTCAAAACGTATTTTAAATAAAATTGGATTAATTTCTCATGAATGTTTACTTGATACATTTTTTAAAAAAACACTGGCTTGTTAACTGAGCAAACTTCACCCTTCATCCTTTATATTTCTATTGCTCCTTCCATCCTGAATTATCTGATATTCTAAACACCAAAAATCAGCGACTATCTTTATATCTCCCCCCCCCTTTACTTACGTTTTCTTCCCCTGTATACCAATATTTTTGTTTTTATTTATTTTCATCCCTACTACTACTCCTTGCCAGATGCTAAAACTCTTATATCATCTACAAATGTAAGCATACTAATCTTTTACCTCTGTATATCTATCCCTAAAGTTGTCCTGTTTTTAATGTGGTTTATTGGATCTTCGATTTATAGACTAAGAAGTAGTGGCGACAGTATGCATTTTCGCATGACTTTCTTCCTAATATTTATTTCTCTACGTCGCTGCTCAAGTTCTATAACTATTGCTCCTTATATAAACTGTATATCACTCTTTTATCTCTGCATCTCATTCCTGCATTTTTTAATAGGTATTATATTTAGTATCTTGTCTTATTTAACATTGTCAAAAGCTGTTTCTTCTTCTTTCCAGTAAAGAAACGCCCAACATGCAAATCTTTTAATTATGAGCTCTCAAATTTTATGAGCTGTACCATTTGGACTCGTTTCTTTCCAGTCCATCCATTTTGCAAAACTACCTATATCTAACGACAAACGAAACATTCATTTAAGTTTTCTCATAATACTTATCTTTACTGATTGTAACAACTCCAGATAATTGATAAAGTTTTTGGCATATTTTGAGTGTGCTTGAAGTTTTTCGTTCGTAATTATCGTGACATTTAGTTATTTATTGTTTTCCGTAATTGGAAAGAGCTTTATCGTGTTATCATTTATTACTTTAATGTTTCTATTAATGTGTAATGTTCTAGCGTATGTTTGCATTACATCACTTTGCGGTTAAAAATTGTTGAAAAACAACAAAAAATTCGGAAAATAACTTTATTAAAAGGCTTAAAAGATATTATCGAATAAAAATGGCAAACAACTCATTTCTCCCTTGGCCTTGAAATTGGTGTAACTGAGATAGCTGATGATACGATATTATGGATCGAGTGGACTATTAAAACATTTAAGTAAATGATGGAAATATTCTATAGCTACCCTTACTTTTGATATCTAGTATATTGTCGTATATTTGGAATTTTTAATCAAAACTTTAAAACTTTGCTATTTAGAGCATTATTTGAGTAAAAGCTTCGGTTAGGTTATGGTATGGGGCATGGAGGATATAATAAAGGAGGACGAACGCTTTTCTGAAAACTATCCTAGAAAAAGGGACAAACAGTGAGGCGCTGCAATGTTGTTCCTTCTCCTTTACTCCAATCACCATGATATATATGGGCGATCGCAATGATTAAAATATGGGTTCTATGCACCATAGGTGCGGTATCATTCCGACTAGTTTTGAATGGGTTCAACTAGTTACTATTATTTCTGTAAATTATTCTATTTTAGGATGTTATTAAATATAGGAATGCATAAAGTATATGGGTTGCTTATTGAGTAGGTGTTGATATCTGTCAATTGTTTTTCTCGGTCTTCGTGAGACGTATTTGTTTGTGAAATAATGACGTAAAGCAACTGTCAATAAAATTCCATTTTTCTTTCGGGAATTTTGCTGTATAATTAGTAGTATTGTATCTTCAATGACTAAGTAACGTAAATATTTCTGTTTATCGCCTTTTTCTTAAAATCAATTGAAATGTAGCGTATGTGTAAAGCAGTTGCTAATTATTTTCGCGTTTAGCTTCGTATTGTGAACACGCACTACTTGAAATAAATTAAGTGACGTNGTATATTTAATGTGGTTTGTTTGAAACTGACTCCAGAAATACATAAGTAAAATATGAAACAGTAGATAACTTATGAGGTATGTAGTAGTACTTTTATTACTGTATTTAAATATCGATTTTTTGTTGCTTTTTATATTTTTTCGAACAGTAATACTTAATAGGTATCACATGAACTCAAAATAATTTTATTTATTTATTATCTTTAGCGTCTCTTTATCAAAATAAGTGACTATTAAATGAATAAAATCGACAACCTCCAAAATTTGAATAAATAAAAAAATGTGAACAGATATAATTCATTGTTTACCACAGGTTATCCGAACTTTTACGGGACATAGTACCTATTAATCAAACCTTGGTAAAATTCTAGTATGTACGAATCCCATGTTTCCCGAGGATTTTGTTCTTGATCTTCATCAGTCCAGGGATTTTCCTGTCTAAAAGTCTAAAACAAAAGCTAATTAAAGTTGATTTTATAGGTTCTTAAACAACAAATTCTTATAAACAGTTTTTGGTTTCGATTTAAACTTAATCTGAAACTAAAATTTTCATATGTTTGTTCTCAGTGGAGAAAATAATATTTTAAACCAAATGAACTAGATTTCATGGTGTTTTTTTTCTTCCAGATTACTCATGTGCTCTCATAGGGGATATTCTTCTCCAAGGGCATCTTTACATAACGAAAAACTACTTTGCTTTCTACTCAAATGTCTTCGGATACGTCACAAAGGTAATCTATATGAAACTAATTTTTCTCTCTCACGGAAACAGTACTTTTTTTTCTGTATAAAAGTACCCTATGTCTTTTTCTAAAGCCCTGATAATGTGTGTACAAAATTTCATGATGATCCACCGAGTAGTTAAGGCGTCAAATTGTAGCAAACAAACACATTTAATTTTTAATTTTTATTAAAATAAAATACCAAAATTCAAATAGTTTGCTAGTTTTACAACGGTGTACATAAAAACGTATCCTAATTTACTTCAGCCCTGTACTGTATCTTTTGAAGGGTGTATTAAAAGATATTGTGAACATTCCCGGTTTTAATGATGTAAAAATGTTCTAAATTTTTCTGATGACTTTCTCGCCTGATCATTTCTTCGTAATTGTTTTAAATATATTAGTAAGTACGAAATACGTGTGTTATTTAATTGAAACGAATGTCCATGTTATGCGAACTTGAGAATTATCTTTTTCAGTTTCCTAACTAGGATATTGATCTTTTTTTATGTAATAAAACACTTCCTTGATTTCTTAATCTAGATCAAGATATGTGCAATAACGAATTTTGTTTTTTATATTTGTTTAAAGAAAATTTAAAGTAGAAAATGCTGTAGATAGTATTAAGTAGGTGTTAGTTTGGTTGCATACATATACGAACGTTTTATAATGAAAATTGTATTTTCTTCCATTTTACTGTATATGAAATGATACCTATATTGCATTTTATAATAGTTATTAAAGGAAGGAATATTTAGTCAGAGTTACATAATTTTCTGTATAATTTCGAGTAAAAAACTTATTTTTTTTTTTGAAAATTGCCGTTTTTATTTTTCAGTTCTCGACTTACCTCGCATTCTTTGAAGGTGCCATTTTTTTGCTACTAACTTAATTGCGAAACACGACAATTTCTTTTGTTACTTAATATTTTTCGATTCGTATGGTTTCTTTTATTTTATATTAAAGTTCTGAAATATTTTGGTTCTACTTCTTTTAATCAACAGAAAATTCATCGACATTGTACAAGTTTGTGTGAAGGAAGTCCCACATACTTTTAGTATCTACGCAGTAGGAGTTCATTTTCTAAAAGTGTAGTAGAGGGAAGTTTGACTCATTATCTTTTAAATATGTTCGATTCGATAAGAAAAGAAAATCTATTGTCCCTGATCTTTATTTATACGTTAATTTTTTTGGCTACAACAATGGCAAATTGTTTAGCTCTGTCGATAAACGTTTTTGGAATGAGTAATGGATGAGTCTCTGATGAGTACCAACGTTTACGGTACCAAGAGTGAAACGCATAACAGTTATAACAACAGATGTTGGATTTGTTATGATAAATTTTAGAATTTCCCTTTTAGAATATATTTTGATTGATGATTATTAAATTAAAATGTTGCTCTTTTGTTTCAGGGGCAATATAAAGCAACTTTCCAGTTCTGCACCTACAATGACGGCTCAGGCTCGGACTCCAGAGCCTCCTAGTCCAAAAGCTACGACCAAAGAAGATAAACTACCCACTACCTCAAAAGCAAGGCAGAAAAAGTTCCACAGGCATTTTCCAACAGTTGACCTGGACGAAAAAGTTTTAAATTGTAAGTAATAATCAAGCAAATTCAAGAATTATAATGTAATTAACACAATATCACTTAATTGGAAACTCCCATAATCATCATAAGGTCGTCAGTCCTAAGATTGGTTGGACAGGCACTTCCACTGTTTCCTATCCTGAGCCAATCTTCGTCCTTCCCTAAAACTAGAAAATCCCACATTCTTGACTATTTGCGAACAGTAATTTAATCTAGGTCTCCTTCTACTCCTCTTAACTCCTGTTTCTGCCTCTAATATGTCTCTGACTAGAGCTTCATGCCTGATAAGGTGTCCTACCAACCTGTCTCGTCTATTTTGTTATTGACTTCCATAGAGTCCTCTATTCTCCTATTCTTCTTAATACCTCTTCATTTCTAACTTTCTCTATCGACGGTATCCTCATCATTCACCTGTAATGTCACATTTCGAACGCTTATAACCTTTTCTTTTCCACCGCACCCACTTTTCGTGATTCGCACCCGTACAGTGCCGCGCTCCAAACATATACCCTTGACAATCTTTTTCGAATTTCTAAACTAACCGTTCGCGAGCATAGCAGTGACTCCTTTTTATGAAAGGCGACTCGACCCTGTGCTATCCTCTGCTTTATGTCCTTACTACTCCTTCCGTCCTGACTTATCTGACTTCCTTGTATTTTCATACAATACTGTTTTATAAATAATAATAAGATTCAGTTTAACTACGATATAACAAATAACAGTTCTACTAGGTGTATAAAATGTCTGTGTTATCATTTCGTCCTAGTTCAATGTTGTATAATCTTCAACATTTCATGCTGTTAAACATTCTAAAAAGTTGATAACAATCCAGCTGGCTAGAAAAACGAACGAGGATGAAGATAACACACGAACAGATTTGTGTCGAAGTTGACCTTTCCTTTTGATAGGAAATAGATAGTTTGAACATATTGTTTTCATGTTGTTCTCGAATTTAGTGCCGCGAAGACGCGTTAAAATTATGGTTGTTATTATTAACATTAATATTCAAAATTCAATTAATAAATATAAGTGGTGTATATTTAATGTGGTTTGTTTGAAACTGACTCCAGAAATACATAAGTAAAATATGAAACAGTAGATAACTTATGAGGTATGTAGTAGTACTTTTATTACTGTATTTAAATATCGATTTTTTGTTGCTTTTTATATTTTTTCGAACAGTAATACTTAATAGGTATCACATGAACTCAAAATAATTTTATTTATTTATTATCTTTAGCGTCTCTTTATCAAAATAAGTGACTATTAAATGAATAAAATCGACAACCTCCAAAATTTGAATAAATAAAAAAATGTGAACAGATATAATTCATTGTTTACCACAGGTTATCCGAACTTTTACGGGACATAGTACCTATTAATCAAACCTTGGTAAAATTCTAGTATGTACGAATCCCATGTTTCCCGAGGATTTTGTTCTTGATCTTCATCAGTCCAGGGATTTTCCTGTCTAAAAGTCTAAAACAAAAGCTAATTAAAGTTGATTTTATAGGTTCTTAAACAACAAATTCTTATAAACAGTTTTTGGTTTCGATTTAAACTTAATCTGAAACTAAAATTTTCATATGTTTGTTCTCAGTGGAGAAAATAATATTTTAAACCAAATGAACTAGATTTCATGGTGTTTTTTTTCTTCCAGATTACTCATGTGCTCTCATAGGGGATATTCTTCTCCAAGGGCATCTTTACATAACGAAAAACTACTTTGCTTTCTACTCAAATGTCTTCGGATACGTCACAAAGGTAATTGTTTTTAATTTTTTATTTTCAAATATGCGTTACGCACTAATAAATTCTAATTACAATGGCATCTGCTATAGATATTTTTAAATTGAAATATTATGAGACTGAATCAACAAAGCAAATTATTTAATTTATTTGTTTCATAGTTTTAATGCTGTTTTAGATTTTTTTTAATTAAAACTTTATAATAAGTATGTTGTTGGTGCAATGTTTACTGCTTATGAATGTTTGAGTTAACTTAATCTAAAAAAACTCGCAGGGTGGTTAATGAGCATGTCGCCTTTGCAGTGTTTCTGAATTACTGTGCAAATGACTTTTGCTTTGTTCGTTAAAAACAGTGGCATAGCGTGAGTTTCCACCACCCAAGTCCCGGGGCGCATCCCAAAGCCGCTTTCCCCTTTTTGACAATAAATATTTTTGTATTTAAATTGGTCGGCATTGAAAATATGTACTTAAAAATTTATATTTTTAAGTTAGCGTTTTAGCAAATAAGTAACGTTTATTATTAACGTAAATTGAAAGTGTATAGGCATTTTTATAAATAGGAATCTTCCTTATTAGACTTATGTTAAACAAGAATAAGAAATACTCAAATTTGCCTTTTTTACCTTACGCTATAACGTAAACCAATTGGGTTCGACTATTCGACTCTCATTGATTATGAATTACTACTACAAAATTTGGTATCTTTACTCACTAAATGCCTTGGAGCATAGCACAAATTATTAAAAATCTAGCCACCCCCATATTTGCGCCATCTGGGGTCATGGCACCCTTTGTCAATGAGAAAAAGTCTTGTGAATCTTCTGTGGAAGGTTTAAAATATGACCTTTTCCAAGATTGACTTATTACAATACGTTTATTTGTTACCTTTATATTCGAATTGATTTAAATACTTATTTTCGACGACCATTAAAATAATTGTGGTCCAATTTTGAAGAAGTGAATTATTGTGTATATAAATATTGACTGCTGAAGCCGTGCAAATTAAAAGCAAGAAGTTAATAAAAGGAATACTAAGAGCTAATGTAGATTACAGACATCAAAGTAATAACTCAGGCGTAGGGTCTTATTGTTAGCACGTGGTGAAGGATTAAATCAATAAAATTAAACTTAAAGTTTCGAAAATTGAGATTTTATTAGAGAAAAAAAGATTAATATCATGAATTGATGTATCCAGTGGTTAAATTAAATGTTTTTTATCACCCTACTGTGATGTCTAGAATCTACATGCTCCATATGCCCTATTAGTTGCGTATCAGCTTCCACAGTGCCTATTTATATCCCTACATAATTCGGAAATTTCGGAAACAATGTTTATCGGTTTGAAACAAGAAGAAGTAAGTGTTTAGCAAGACGTGAAGAAATGCAAAATTTTTGAAAACAAGAACTGAATTTTTCTGTCCATATAGAAGATAACGAACAAAAATAAAGATAAAAAAAATATAGACAGTGGCGTAACTGGCGAAGTGGCGCACGCTGAAAGTGCTGCCCCAATCCTGTGATAAAAATTAAACGAATTCCAGTTCGGGACGGACACTATTTGCCGTTCCTGAGTGGTGGCAATGTGCCGCCGCCTGGAACGGGCCGCCCTCCGCCCTATTTACGCCACTTAAGTCGAAAAAAGAAAAGAAACTTACAATGACTAAATGTGAAGATTAGTATAATAAAATAGTAGTAGAAAAGAAGGAAGAAGGAGTAAGTTTGTTTGGATCTTGTAAGTGAATTCGTTTTTTGATTTTTTTTGCATTTTCTTTTCCAGTTACTCATTCCACTTTTGACCGTGGAAAAGATCACGAAGGAGAGAACGGCTAAAATAATACCCAACGCGGTTGGCGTTGTGACAAGTGAAGACAAACATGTGTTTGGCAGTTTAATGTCCCGTGATAACACATTCCGGCTTATGATTAAAGTTTGGGACGCAGCAAGAAACAGTGCCATGCAAAACAGTCTTCATGTCGAAGAGGAGTTATTGGTAAGTTCATGTATTCATTATTTACAATTTTCGACACAGTGATGTTGAACAACCACTCAAAATCGTGGACTACGGAATGATATAGGGGCGGAATATAAAGTGTGAATATAGAAAAAGGTAGCGAAGCTCTAAATTCTTCGGGAATATTAAATTCGGAATAAGCGTCGGAGAACATTCTTCTGCCGCCTACCTCCCCTCCTGGCCAGCAAATCTCCGCAAAATTATTTTAAATGAGACCTTATATCTTCTCAACAAACCTTTAAAAGACTAAACATTATTCACAAAATGTATCAAACAAAAAAAAAATATCATTGAATAATAATGCAACTTTTTTGACTTTTGAGTCTAACCTTTATAAGATTTGTTGCATGTCCCACAATTAGGTTTGTATGTACCTATCTGATTTGCATTCTTCTTCTAGTAAGGTTTTTATTGTATTTTACATTGCCTAAGGAGTTATTGGTTCCAAATGATATAGAGGAGTCAGTAAATTTTGAAGTATGTGTGGCTGTAGATGCAGAATATCGTCTAATTCCTTGTTGAAATCGTCTTCAAGCAAAGTTAGCAATATATGAAGACTTGAATAGACTGAAGTATTTCATGTGTTAAATAAGGGCTGAATCGATAACACAGCTTTCATACGTGATAAACACGTAAAACAATTAATAAGAACGTTTATGTTCTTGATGATGAGAACTGAAAAGATCGAAATCGTAATTCGATTTTGGTCATCATCATCATAAGGTCGTCAGTCCTAAGACTGGTTGGACACGAACCTCGATTT